CGCAGTATTTATTTATTTATTAAAAGGGTAAAGGCTTTTCTCACAATGAAAACAGAAAAGGAAGAAAGAGGCCTGGGACTTGCCAGTGGGGCACCCTCTATGGTCATGGCCCCTGAGGAATGTAAGAGAAGCCATGCTGGATCTGAATGTAAGAGAATGTAAGAGAATGCTGAATGTAAGAGAATGCTGAATGTAAGAGAAACCCATCCAGTCCAATGTTCTGTGTCACACAGTGGCCAAAAATACCAGGTGCCATCAGGAGGTCCCCCAGCGGAGCCAGAACTCCTGAAGCCCTCCTGCTCTTGCCCCCCCAAAAAACACCAAGAAGACAGAGCATCACTTGCCCCCAGACATAAGAACATAAGGGAAGCCAACGCTGGATCAGGCCAGTGGCCCATCCCATCCAACACTCCGTGTCACACAGTGGCCAAAACCCAGCTAGAGTAGGAGAAAAGGAAGACCAGATTCTTCCAGGACTGTTGGGTGTGTGTCTTTCACTATGGCAGAACTGTCCCTGGATTCAGAGGGAAACAAGGTGATGGTTTGAGAACATCCTTGGCAACTTGCAGTGGGCTAGCACCGTGCAAACCTCGACAGGGTTATGGGCCCAGGCCGCGGCTAGCTGAGCAGAGAGCGTGTGGAGTTGAGGAAGGAGTATCCGAAGTACAGTGACTGTCTACGGTGGCTGAGTGGCTGAGGAGCTGTCTTCGAAGCTGAGGAAGCAGCAGAGCAGAGACGGAGCAGAGACGGAGCTGGAAGCTGTCCAGAGTGCTGAGGGACGACCAGCTGCTGGGAGCAGACGACAAACATGGCCCAGGTATCCATTGCCCAGGTGGTTGATAAGCTTACCACAAGTAACTACAATGCGTGGGCACTAAAGATGAAGCACTACTTGATCAAAGAGGCTCTGTGGGTGTACGTTAATGATCCCCCAGAGGACCCGACGCCAAGAGAAGAGAGCAATGATGAAAAAGCACTGGCTTTAATTGTTCTAAGTGTCAGAAATGACCAGTTTACGTACGTGGCTGATAAGACAAGCGCTAAAGATACGTGGGACTCTTTGAAAGCAGTTTATTTGCAAACTAACATCGGCTCACTGATATTGATAACACACCGCTTGTACAGGAAGGTGCAGCAGCCTGGTGAGTCTGTGAAAGATCACCTCAAAGTCCTAACAGACTATTTTCAACAGCTGCATGAGCGTGGAAAAGATGTTGCCGAGGAGGACAAAATATACGTGATATTGAGTTCTCTATCACTGGATTACAACATGTTTATTACTGCCTTGGAAAGTGTGGAAGTTAAAAATCTCAGTCTTCAATCTGTTGTTGGCCGAATACTCCAGGAGAAGTTACGCTGCAAGGAGTCTGGGCAGAGTTCCAGGGAGTCCGGGCAGAGTTCCAAGGAGTGGCCGTGGGAGTTTCCTGTAACCAGCTGCGCCGGTAAGGAGCTACACAGAGAAGTTTTGCCCGTCGCTCTCAAAGTGAAGAAGTGTTTTTGCTGTGGCTCAACTAAACACCTATCGCAAGCCTGTCCTGAGAAACAGGAGCAAAAGAAGACAGAGGCTAAACATTCTGTTTCAGTGGTTGTCACGAATGAGACCACTAAAATTTCCTGGTTACTCGACTCAGGCGCCTCACAGATGTTTTGCAAAGATGAGAGTCTGCTACTGAATAAACGGGACTCAAGTTTTAAACATGTAAGTTTAGCAGATGGCCCATCATCAAAGGTCACTTGTCAGGGAGATGTGTTTTTCCCTAGCCTAAATCATACGTTTAAAGGTGTTCTATGTGTGCCTGCTCTCAGATTTGAGTATCTCTTACTGGGCAGAAGTGATGAAAAATGCTTGTTATATAAGTAACAGAATTTGGTCCAGTGAAATAGATGACATACCTTACAGGATGATGTACAACAGGTACGCACAATTAGATTACCTAAGAACATTTGGTTCTAAAGCATGGGTTAATATTCCTCTGGAACGCAGAAGGAAAGGGGGAGCAAGAGCAAAACAGCTTGTGTTCCTAGGGTACCAACCAGGTATGAAGTCCTACAGGTTTGCTGATCAAAATAACACTGAGTTTTAGTAGGTCAGCCGATTTCTGTGAGCATGAGAACTGGAGTAAAATTCATGCAAATAAGTTGCCTCAAATGATTGCACTGAAAACACTGAGAGTGTAAAAGAGGAAGCTGTGTCAAAGAGTGAGCAATCTTCTGTAATTATGCATGATGAAAGAGTGTTACCCAGAGTGTCATCTCGTAGCACTAAAGGTGTTCCACCTGTCAGATATGGCTATGATGTAAACCATGTATATATCAAGGAACCGCATAGTTACAGTGATGTGTTGAAACTGCCTGATGATGAAAAAGAGGCATGGTTTCAAGCTATGGAAGAAGAGCATAACTCACTATCAGAAAATGAAGTGAATGTCTACTGTGACAATTCAGCTGCCCAACAATTAGCAGATAACCAATGTATTAGAGTGAGGAGCAGACACATTAACATAAGATACATGAGTGTAAGAGATTTATTGCAACGTGGTTTGATTAAATCGAACTATTGTACTTCTGAAAGCAATGCAACAGATATGTTCACGAAGTGTCTTGATGTGAATAAGTTTACAGTTTTGAAAGGTAAACTAGGGATTACAGCACAGATTTAAGGGGGAGTGTCAACATCCATGTGTTCTATAAATCTGGTGGTAGATCATATCAATTTGTTTGACAGGAGCTGACAGCTCAGAGTGTCAGTAGAGCTGGCTCCAACTGGTTCTGTCTAGCTGAGAGCAGAGCTAATTAACAGTGATTCAGCACTGGGTCCTGATTGGACAATGCTTGTATATATATATATGATGCTGTACTGTGTACTTTACCTTCCTGATGGAAACCTGGTGTCTGCGTGAGCATTTTGTCCTTCTGTGCAATATATTGGTGGTAAAAGGTAAAGGTTCCCCTTGCTCGAAAGCCAGTCGAGTCCGACTCTAGGGTTGCGGTGCTCATCTCCGTTTCCAAGCCGAAGAGCCAGCGCAGTCCGAAGACGTTTCCGTGGTCATGTGGCCGGCATGACTAAACACCGAGGCACACAGAACGCTGTTACCTTCCCACCAAAGTGGTCCCTATTTATCGACTTGCAATTTCTTGAAGGGAGCTCACTCTGTCATGCGGCACACTTGGGTCTCGAACTGCTGAACTACCGACCTTCCACAGCCTGCAGTGCAGTGCCTTAACCACTTGAGCCACCGGTGTAAATAAATTGTATATAGTTTTACACCAAGCCTATAAGACTTATGTCTTCTTTGACACTCTCACACCACTCCCAACCTGCAGTGGGGCTAGCCCTGCGCAAACCTGGACATCAGGAGCAAGGATGTAGACTTTCCAATTTCCGGGGGGGGGGGGGGGGGGGGCTGGGGCTGGGCCAGAGGCATTGCTTTGCTAGGAGCAAGGGTGGCTCCCGGGGTAGGCTGAGCACCTTCCTGAAAATTTCGGCTGGGGCTGAAGCTCCGCCGCCCCCACGAAGATTACGCCTATGATCAGGAGGTCCAGCAGTGAGGCCAGAACTCCAGAAGCCCTCCGGCTGTTGTCCCCTCCCAGGCACCAAGAAGATAGAGCATCACTCCGCATCCCAGACAGAGTGTCCTTGCGGCTAACAGCCACGGAAGGACCTCTGCTCCAGATGTTTCTCCAGTCCCATCTTGCGAATGCCCCCGCGTGTGTTCATGACGGGTTGGCTGAAGGAGGAGGAGTCCCCCTCCTGAATGTCTGTCCTGAGCCCGCCGCTTCCCCGGGAAGGGCCACCGGGGCACCCGCTCCCCGCATCCGAGATCTCGTGGCAGGTGGCCCCGAATGACCACCGGGGTGCCCCTCAGCGTTCTGTGACACCTGCACACTCCCCGTCCGCCCCGTCCCCGGGCGGCGGGACCCTCCGTGTCTGGGGGGTGGGCGGGGGG